GCATCTCCAAGTGAAGCGACAAATGAGTAGGCAAACCTCATTTGCCTTTGACACATCAGTATTTTCATGCTCCAAGGGAATATGCAAATAAGTAGGCAAAGTATACATGCTCTCTCCAACAAGGCAATATTGCCTACTTCAAAATGAAGAAATATATTGGGCCCCATTTACTTTTTATAATAAAATACCATCGCCACTCTCTCACGTACTTTCTATAAAAATATAATAGTAAATATAAAAAATAAATGGAAGAAAGAGTCTACTTTCTGAAAAAATAATAGCAGACAAAAATATTAGAAACTCGCCGGAGAACAAAGAGAACAATAATCATGTCTAGATATAGTCCAATACTAAGAAAATACTTTTTTAAGAAAACAGATTCATGAAAGAAATTCCAACGAGGCATATACATCTTAAAAGTATTCATGTTTATTATGAATATTGCTGTCAACTTAAGAGAATATTCTTTAGATTTCTATCGTCTCCACATTCCTTTTATAACCATGATTTATTGTTCTATAAAGGGCCATATATCTCTCATAGAATTTCCAAATTATGGCTTATATTACTTACCTGATTTTATGAGGATTTTTTTGGACAATTTAGGATTGCTTGGTGTACAATTTGTTCTAATTACAAGTTTTAAGCCGAGCGTTTTTAGACAATTTAGGATTGCTTGGCTTGGCAGCAGAGTAATCTTGTTCCACAAGTAAAAGATCTTGTAGAGAAGGCGGAGGGTTTTCTTTTTAAGGGTGTATAAAAGCCCCCTTCTCGTTCCACCTCCATTCACAACAACCATTACAACAACATCAAAACTCTAAGCACAGACCCTCTGTGGTTACGACGACAATGGACCTCAAAGAATCAGTACGCAACCAAACTGACGTGGGCCTCAGAATGACGAGGCACCTGTTTCTAGCTGAAGCCAAGGGGCAGAACATGGTGTTCTCGCCGCTCTCCATCCATGTTGTGTTGAGCATGATAGCAGCTAGCACAAAGGGTCCAACCCAAGACGAGTTACTCTCTTCCCTAAAGTCCATGTCCACCGGAGAACTCAACTCCCTCGCCTCCAATCTCCTCCCTTTCGTGTTTGCTGACGGCTCCCCCAGCGGCGGTCCCTGCCTGTCCTTCGGGAACGGCGTTTGGGTCGACAAGTCTCTCGCTCTCAAGCCCTCTTTCAAAGAGGTGGTGGATACTTTTTACAAAGCGGCTCAAAAGCATGTCGATTTCCAGAACAAGGCTGAAGAAGCAAGAGCTGAAGTCAACTCATGGGCTGAAAAGGAGACTAAGGGCGTTATTAGAGAAGTACTTCCTCCTCAGGCAGTTGACAGCTCAACAAGGGTCATCTTTGCAAATGCATTATACTTCAAAGGAACTTGGGATGATGACCCGTTTCTGTACTAAAAAACAAAGGACTATGTCTTCCACCTTCTCAATGGGAGATCAATAATAGAGGCACCCTTCATGACTATCTACAAGAGGCAGTTTATAAGTGCCTTTGACGGCTTCAAAGTCTTAAAACTTCCATACAAACAAGCATATGGTGAGAAGAGGCGTTTTTGCATGTGCTTGTTTCTTCCAGATGAAAAAGATGGTCTGCCAGCTCTGGTTGAGAGAGTTTGTTCTGAGCCAGGCTTCTTAGATCGCCATATTCCATATTTCAAAGATGAAGTGGGTATCGTCAAAATCCCAAAGTTTAAGATTACTTCTTGGTTTGAAGTTTGGGGCATTCTCGAGCAGTTAGGTTTGAAGCTTCCTTTCCACTTGACAGAGATGGTGGAAGCGCCTCCGGGTCAGGACCTTTTTGTTTCCAAAATGCTCCATAAAGCCGTCATCGAAGTTAATGAAGAAGGAACGGAAGCTGCCGCTGTTACAGTGACCAGTGCGAGCATTTCGTTCGCACCATGTCAGCCTAGGAAGACGGTAGACTTTGTGGCAGATCACCCATTCCTGTTTTTGATCAGAGAGGAAATGACTGGAGCGGTGTTGTTCATTGGGCAGCTGCTCAATCCTCTTCAAGGCTGATTATACTAGACAAGTATTAATAAATATGTCCTCTTTTTGTTTATTTCTCTTTGTATTAAAAATCTGATCCATTCAGTTAGGATTTTTTTTTAAAAATATTTAATTATCTGTGTCAGCCAATGTTTACATCCCTCTTCAATTTGAGGTGGTTTCAAGGGGGTCTTAAGTTTTGGCTTTGTGTGAAGAACTTCATAAAGGAGGATGCTTTTCTTAGTTTTTACATACAGCCTACAGGCGGTCTTAAACTATACATATATATATATATATATATAGGGACGAAATTATATGGACATCCATTTATGTGGCTGATCATCCAAGATTTTGTGGCTGATCATCCATTTATGTTCTTGATCAGAGACGAAATTACTAGAACAGTGTTTTTGGTTGGGTATGTGCTCAATCCTCATGTAGGCTAATTATTGTATGATATTACATGACCCTTTTATACTGGAGAAGGATTGAAGAAAGTGTGCAGATGAAACCAAACAAGGATATATGCACGTCTTTGGTGTTAAAAAATAAAAAAAGCATGTTGATGTGGTATTTATAGTTAGCTATTGCACTTTGTTTGGCGACTGTTGTCCATTTTGTGACAGAGTACATAATCTAATGGTTTTTTCACCACCAGAGAAACCATTAGATTGCGTAATTAGGCAAGCTTGTTTTGACATAGAATCTCTTTGTAAATAGCATTTTAGTCTATAATAATCTCAACCGTTGTAATAATCTATCCGCTTAAAACATGGCATGTCATCGAACTTTGAGTTTTTATCGTTTCTTACTTCTGTTAACATTGAAGCCGTCAATTTTTTATAGATTGCTTGTTTTTTGCCTTTGCCCTGGATTTTTTCTGGGAATGAAAGAGAATGAGAGAAGCTCTCTCGTCAATTTTCTTATTTACTTCTATAAATCCAAACGTCTCTCCCTCACTCTCACATATTTGAAGAGGGTCTTCTGTCAATTGCTTGTTTACTTTCAATTCAAATATTCTCAAGAAATCCAAATCTGGAGAAGCCTATATACATGCATATTTGCTCTGATCACCCCTCTGAACCTTGAACATAATTCTCAAACTAGAAAAAATTATGACTTCCAATTTTGGGGTTTCTTCAAAATGAAGCTCAGATGATCAAGTAGCAAATTGCTTGATATGAAAGTTCAAATTTTCAGATCTTTGTTGGGTCTCTCTCAAAATGAAGCTCTTGCTTCAAACGTGTGAGAGAGAGATTTGGATTTACATAAGGGGATCACCAAGGCCGAAAGAAGAACCCAGGAAGGATGAGTCGAGAAAAGAGGAACGAGCAGTGGATCCTCATCATCATGGTTATGACGTCATTTAACATTTAGAAAACAAAAAATAAAGAACTAAACTCAAAGCTTGACGGCGTGTCGTGTTTTAAATGGATATATTGTTACAACAGTTGAGATGTAGTGAAATAACAGTAATTCAATGGAATAATTCATAAATAAATTAAATTACATGGACACATTTTATCATATATGGCATCCAATTTTTAGGTTTTACTTAAAAAATTTATTATATATTGCTGGGTTATTGTCTAGAGTTTTATAATTGCACGGACTTATATCAATGTGACCCCCTCTTTTTTTTATAATTGCACGGACTTATTATAATTGCAAAATCTGAATTTTATGCACCAAGAAGCAGGGTATATATAGTGATCCAAAAGGCTCCACATTTAATGTTTACCAATGGAGGAAAGATTAGAAATTTAATAATAATATAATAATTAAGGTGCAAGCCCATAAGATCAACTTCAAACCAGTGTGTCTCAGCTGTTTTTTCTTTCCCTTTGATCGGGGTTTGGTAAAGATCTACAAAATATTTTGGCGTGCGCCAAATGAGTGCAATTGGAATTGGGGAACTTCAAGCCCTCAATTATTTAGAATCAAATAACTTTAGATTCTGATTCAATCAAGGAACTTCAGGCCCTGATCTCTTGTATAATACAAACTCATCATAAGATATAATAATTAATTAAACTGATGCTTTAAAAAAAAAAAAAAAAAAACTAAACCATGATAAGGTTAGTATGAAAATATGAAATAGCAATAGAAGTCATGACTACTACATATAAAAATTGTAAAACTCGTAAACCATAAATTAATAAATAAATAAAACAGAAATAATAGGAAGTTTGTAAGCCATCAAGGTATTAGTTGATGAATAATTATGATATAAACAATAATATAGAATATCACTTATCAAACGCATCTATAGCAACAAATAAACATGCCGTGTTGGCATAAAAGACATGATGATATATCAAATGCTTGAGTCATTCATGCAGTATTTCCCCAAAATTATTTTAAGAACGATTTTTTGCTGTTTTTGAATTTAATGTTTAGGAGTAAATATAATTAATTGTTTCCTAAAAATTAAATTTCAAAACAGCAAAAATCCTTCTTAAAATAATTTTGGTAGGCAACGCAAAATTTGAATGGAATGGGAGAGCATATAGGTCAAGCGGGTTAATCCCAAAACGGTGGTAGCCTATCCAATGGGGCTTTTGTTAGGTGTATTTGTTTTGCCTTACATTATCTTTCCTGAGGAGCATACTGCTCTTTTGGAATCGAATCTCCATATTAATAATTGCTCTTTTTCTAGCTCTAGCGCATTATTAAACCTCAAAATTTGAAATAAAGAGACCAATTGGAAACGGATTTGGGGAAAACCTTGAAAAATTATCTAATCTCCAAAGCCATACGGAGTAAACTTGTAATTTTACAAAATAAATCGTACAAATAATTAACAAATCCAAGAGAGAGAGAGAGAGAGAGAGAGAGAGAGAAATCCTACCGTAACACGGATTTCTAACAAAGCCTATAAATAATAGGCTTCTCTCTCCTGGTCCCTCCCACGCCTCTTTCTCTGTAGTCTTCTTTTGGTCTGAATCTTTCTCTATAGTCAGTTGTTTTATTTTATAGAGAGATCAAGAAATTATTGTTTGGCAATGACTTTTGATTTAAGAAACTTTGTCATATTATTGTTCCTAGCAGCAGTAATTGTCGGGCTTGGGAACTTGGAGGCAATGTCTGAGGAAAATCCTCAAAATCCAGCAAACGCTAATCTTGCTCAAGCATTCGAGGATTGGATAATCGAGTACAAGCCCGTTTACTCAAGTAATGAAGAAAAGGAGAGACGTTTTGCCTACTTCAAGAAGTCGTTTGAGTCTGTGGAGAATTTCAAGGAGTCATTCAACCTATTTGCTGATCGTAGCGACGATGAAAAGTCTAAGCCCTGTTTCTTGCCATATGTTGGAAAAGAAGAAATTAAGGAAGGAGATGTTTTGGCTGAATCTTAAACCCTCAAGCTATTATTAATAGCTTAGCTTTCAAAAATTAAATAAGAGTACAATTACTTCATTTGTAATTCAATTTCCAAATTTTTTTTCCTCTTAAGGGGTTATTACAGGAAACCATATCATTCTGGATATACTAGCAGTATATTGTATATACTGCTAGTATATACTGATTCTCTCGTCAACAATTGATTAAGGGGTTATTGATAGTATTTTCATTAATTGATTAATGTTTGTGTTTTGATTAATTGATTAGGGCTTTGTGTTTTGATTAGTTTTTTTAAAAAATTTCATTTGGATCCATCACTCCCCAAAGATTGATTTGAATGCAATGGAAGATTATAGCAATCCAAATAAAACAATGTCAGTTTTATGCAAAATCTGAATTTTATGCACCAATAAGCAGGGTATATATAGTGATCCAAAAGGCTCCACATTTAATATTTACCAATGGAGGAAAGATTATAAATTTAATAATAATATAATAATTAAGGTGCAAGCCCATAAGATCAACTTCAAACCAGTGTGTCTCAGCTGTTTTTTCTTTGCCCTTGATCGGGGTTTGGTAAAGATCTACAAAATGTTTTGGCATGCGGCAAATAAGTGCAATTGGAATTGAGGAAGTGGATTGGATGCGTTCGCTGACATTATCTCAAATGGTGGTCTAAACACTGAACAAAATTACCCATACCAGGGTATCAAAAGAACCTGTGACATTGTCAAGGAAAAAGGAGATGGTCTAGAGATCAATGCCTATGCAATGGTGAACCCGAGGAATGAGGACCAGCTCGCCTATGCTCTCTGCGAACAACCAGTAGTGGTCGGGATCGATGCCCACGGCACTAACTTTGAACATTACAGAGGCGGGATATATCGCTCGGAATGTGGCACAGACATTAACCATTTGGTTTTACTTGTTGGGATGCGGATCGACAAAGCTACCAATGACCAGTATTGGATACTCAAGAACTCGTGGGGTGAAAAGTAGGGTGAAGGAGGGTTCATGAAATTGTTGAAAAATGACAGCACTCCCGGTGGTCACTGTGGCATTGCAATGCAGGCTAGCTATCCTCAACTCTTGGAGTATATATGACGATTAAAGGAAGGGAAAATTATGAAAGTTTGTTTGGTTTGGAGTAGTTTCGTGTCATTTTAGTTACTTGAAACAGAATTGAATCTAGTCAAGGAAGTGTGTCTGGTCTGATATGCGAGTTCATTTGGTGTTATTTTATGTAGTCTTTGCCTCATGCGTTCGACTCGAATTGGTATCATCCTAAGTAAAAATCTGTTGGAGAACAATCAATATTTAAAACCAAAATAACAGAATAATAAAAACCAACGAATATATTTTATATGGATATAATTGAATCAATACAACAATAATATAGATTGTAGAATACTGACTTGAATTGTAGATAGAGTCCTGCAAATTTGCAGTGTCCTTTAGACAGTATTTCTCCTCTACCCTTGTGCTTGTAGTTCGATAGGAGTCTGTCCACCAGGATTAAACTATCTTAAATCTAAGCCTAAGCACAGTGGCTTGATTTCTGGCGAACAGTGGTATGAATTCTCTCAGGAAGTGTAAAATGTGAGAATGATGATGCAGTTCAAAAGGTATTTTTCTGGTTTGATCGTATTGTCATTATATAGAGGTCTGACACCTCTTCATCCAACAGTTATGTTAACTGTTTTAATTAATTCGAATTTCAGATTTTGGTTTTATCTGAAAAAACCCGAATTTTCAATTAATAAAAAATAAATTATTAATTAAATCAACAGAGCCCCAAGGCCCAAGGCCCATCTTTTGACAATTAACTCAAACCATGTTGAGGCTCAAGTTTGCCTCCACTAGGCTCATACTCTATTTAGTAATTCTAATGTGTTGGTGCTTATAAACTATGGAAGAAAACTACTCTCTTCCAATGTGGGACTACATGCAAGTGTATTTTCCTATACAAACTCTAACAAAATCGTCTTACATTCGATAAATAGGTCTGTTTACACCATAATCAACCAAGCATATCCAACCTCAAAACAACTAGCACCAAGGCAGACACGTCTTCTCCCTTGACGAAGGAAGACACTCTTCCGAGGTGCCAAGCACCTGCCGAAACTCCCGACTGCCGAAACTCACAAACTGTTAAACTTAATTTCCGTGACACGTGTCACCACCGCAACGACTTGCACAAAGTCCCACACCGGAAATCTACACCAACCTCCCACTTTCACTTCCCTATAAAAAGTGCACAATACCCTAGTAAAAAGGGTAACTACTTTTCTGCCTTTTACTGTTACTTCGCAAAAGATACCCTTCTTAGCTGCTTTCCTTATTTTTGTCTTCTGCAGGTTAGCCTTTATTGAAGGTCCAGACCCTTCCCTTGCTGAAGGCAAACCTCATTTTCATCAAAGATAATTTCCACTAAATAATGAACTTCCTAAAATTTTGACTTCACGCTTTCCTATTTATTCATGTTCTTAGTGAGATTGCACCTCTTCTTTCATATTTTGGAAATTCTCTAATAACTATCCCCATTTTACTGTAATTGAGATACAAGCTGTCATGTAGATTAGGAAACCACAAAACTCTACTAAAAACAAAGATGAAAAAAGGTATAGGCCAACCCTAAGAATGGAAAAGTAACGACCTTGCCTTAACATGTGGGACAATATATGTCAAAATTGATGACTATATTACCACCATATGATCCTATTGCCAAATCAATAACCCTTTGCTTAGTGGGCATGCCTCGTATTATATATTTAAGTTTTTTATTTTTTATTTCTAACATGAACTCAGACTTCATGAAAGAAAAAACAAATAAAAACCCACTCAGAAGCTATCAAATATATACCTAATTAATACCATACAAAAGAGAACTTCTAGCCCCTTCATTTTTCTCCTTCCTCTAGCCGCCAGTAGCTTTCACCTTTGCAGGATTATGTATGTTATCTTTGATGATTAGGAAGTCACAAAGCGGATTCCGATAAAAGCATATGTATTTTTGGCTAATCGAAAAGCTGGAAAACAAAGTGATCATCAATGAAAGTTTTTAAATCTTTTGAGATGTTAATGGATTTTACAGTCCTTGAGTTACTCATGAGTTGAAAAGAAATTAAGTACTTTGTTAGTCTTTGTTCTTAATTTTAAATCTACTAAAAGATCTTTGTCTTCTGTTTTTGTCTTGAAGACTTTCCAAAACAGGAGCTATGGGCCATTTTATTATGTTTTCCGGGAGAATTGTGTTGGGTTAGGAAGTTAGGGAAATCGAAAATAGAAAGAAAAAAACAAAGGGAAATTGTGTGGATCAAAATGAAATATTCCATATCGAACAATTATAAAACTTTACATTTAAACATACTGAAAATGGTTAATTAAG